ATAGAATAGAATAGAATAGAATAGAATAGAATAGAATAGAATAGAATTCTTTATTGGCCAAGTGTGATTGGAGGCACAAGGAATTTGTCTTGGTGCAAATGCTCTCAGTGTACATAAAAGAAAAGATACATTCATCAAGAGTCCAGAATCATAAGGTACAACAATAATAGTCATAGGGTACAATAAGCAATTAAATCGTACTAGGAAACAGTCAATAAAAATTGTAAGGATACAAGCAACAAGGTTATAGTCATACAGTCATAAGTGGGAGGAGATAGGTGAAAGGAAGGATGGGAGGATTAATAGTAATAGTAATGCAGACTTAGTAAATAGTTTGACAGTGTTGAGGGAATTATTTGTTTAGCAGAGTGATGGCTTTTGGGGGGAAAAACTCCTTGTGTCTAGTTCTGATATGCAGTGCTCTCTAGCGTTGTTTTGAGGGTAGGAGTTGACAACAGTTTGTGTCCAGGATGTGAGGGGTAAATAATCTATTGTAAGTAGATGGGCAGCCATGTAAATTTGATTAATAAATATAAAGCCCATCTTGCCTAATTTTCCAAAATCAGCTCCGATCAATTACCTGGACCATATGCTGCTATTTAAAATCAGCAACACATTGCTAGAGCCTCCTAAGATAAGCTTTATTGTCATTTTTTTTTACTCTGAGCACACTGGCTCACATTAAAAATGAAAATCTGTTGCCTGATCTCTTAAAGACTACTTAGTACTCGACTTACAACAGTTGATTTAGCAACCATTCAGTTACAACAGCACTGAAAAATGTGACTTATAACCGTTTTTCACACTTACATCCGTTGCAGCATCCCCATGGTTGCATGATCAAAATTCAGATGCTTGACAAGTGGTTCGTTTTTATGACCGTTGTCGTGTCCAGGATCACGTGATCCACTTTGGCGACCTTCTGACAAGCCAAATCAACGGGGAATCCAGATTCACTTAACCATCGTGCAACTAACTTAACAAATGCAATGATTCACTTAACTCTGGCAAGAGAAGCCGTAAAATGGGGGCTTATGTTGCAAACATTTGTTTCATTTCACAACATAAATTTTGGGCTCCATTGTGGTCGTAACTCAAGGACTACCTGTATTCCACAAAGGTTTGACCATAACATTGATGGCTCCAAACCAACTCCAGGCAAGGGTTTGAGGGGTGCTTGCAGCTGCATGATTAAATCAAATTGATTTAATCAATAACATTAGTGGTAGCCCCGTGGTTAGAGCCCGGTGCTGCAGGCTACTTCTGCTGACTGCCTGCAGTTCGAATCTCCTCAGGCTCAAGGTTTGACTCAACCTTCCGCCCCTCCGAGGTCAGTAAAAGGAGGAACCAGACTGTTTGGGGCAATAGGCTGATTCTGTAAACCGCTTAGAGAGGACTAAGTGCTATTGTTATTGGGGGAAGGCCCCACTTTAAAGAAAGCTTCCTATTTCCCCCCAGGGAGTCGGAACAAGAGTCTCTCCCATTCCCATTTTAACATTTTAGTAACCAGGCGCAAAGAGAGAATCCCAAAAGATTCTTTTATTGTCCCGTCCCGCTCCCGCGCGTCCGGCAGTAGGAGCAAGCAGCCCCCGCCGCCGGCTGGTTAATCCTCTCGCCCGTGAGGGGAATGCCCTTCTCGACAGGAGGCCTTTTGAAACGACGGGCCTCGAAACTTGCCCCGGCCTACGGGGGAAGAAAAAGGCGGGTCTCTTGTTTCCTAGGTTACAAGGAGAAAGAGCGGCGGAGAGGCTGAGGGGGTGGGGGGAGAAGCGAGAGAGAGAGAGAGAGAGAGAGAAAAGGAAGGAAGGAAGGAAAGGAGAGCGTGTCGCTCAGCTTCTCCGGCAGCGCCCATTGGCGAAGACGAATCCCTTCCAACCACGTGACGGAACGCCCAGCTTCGATCCGATTGGTAGTTCCCTCGGTTACGGGCCATGAGGGGGCGGGATGTTCCGCCTCCTGGCAGCCCCAGCAGCAACAGTAGTGCCGCCACTGCCACCGCCGCGTTCGCTGGAAGGTCCCTGGAAGGCGGCTCCGGCCATCGGCGAGCATCGTCTTGAGGCGGCGGCGGCGGCGAGTCGGAGCGCTCCCCTTCCTTGGGATTCCCTCGCCGTTTAAAGCCATGGCGGCGGCGGCGGTGGCGGCAGATGCGGTGGCGGCGGCGGCGGTGGCGGCGGCGGCAGCCGGGTGACGCCCGAGGCGGCGGATGAGCGGCGGCCGACCGAGTCCTGGCGTGGGAAGAGGATGCGGGAGTACAAGGTGGTGGTGCTGGGCTCGGGCGGGGTGGGCAAATCGGCGCTCACCGTGCAGTTCGTGACGGGCACGTTCATCGAGAAGTACGACCCCACCATCGAAGACTTCTACCGCAAGGAGATCGAGGTGGACGCCTCGCCGTCGGTGCTGGAGATCCTCGACACAGCCGGCACCGAGCAGTTCGCCTCCATGCGGGATCTCTACATCAAGAACGGGCAGGGCTTCATCTTGGTCTACAGCCTGGTCAACCAGCAGAGCTTCCAGGACATCCGCCCCATGCGCGACCAGATCATCCGTGTCAAGAGGTGACGGGGGGGGGGGGG